AACCCACACCCACACCCAGCTCTCTGCTTTTTTTTTTTTTTTTTTTTTTTTTTTTTTTTTTTTTTGTATACAAGGTCCCTCACTGAATCTGGAGCACACAAGTTCAGCTAGATAGGCTGTGAACCTTAGGGGTCCTCCTTTGTCTGCACCCCAAGCTGTAGGTAGACTTTTCTTTCCCACCCGCCAGTTCCCAAGTAACCAACGAAATAGTCAATATTATAAACACTTGGCTGATAGCTCAGGCTTATTACTAACTAGCGCTTACAATTTAAATTAACCCATAATTCTTATCTATGTTCTACCACATGGCTCATGGCCTGTTACCTCATTTTGTACACATCCTGCTTCCTCTGCATCTGGCTCAAGACTCTTCAGACTCCATCTTTCTCTCTCCCAGCATTCTGTCCAGAAATCCTACCTAGCTATTGGCCAATCAGCTTTTTATTAACAATGAGAACAACACATTTTCACAGTATACAAAACGATTATTCCACAATGAGGTATTGATGTGCTATCATGCCAAGCGTTTTAAAAAATTTTACATATGTACATTGGTATTTTACCTGCATGTATGTGTAAGAGTGTCAGATCTCCTGGAACTAGAGTTTACAGATAGTTTTAAGCTGGCATGTGGTTTCTGGGAATTGAACCTGGGTCCTCTGGAAGAGCAGCCTGTGCTCTTCACCACTGAACCATCTCTCCAGCCCCCATGCCAACCTTAAAAAAATTATATCATTTTATCTATCTGTCTTTTTATCTATCTATCTATCTATCTATCTATCTATCTATCTATCTATCTATCATCTATCTATGTGGTGTGTGTGTGTGTGTGTGTGTGTGTGTGTGTGTGTGTTAGGCACATATGTGATAGGGCATGCTTGTAGAGGTCAGAAAACAACTTGGGGAAATCAGTTCTCTCCCTCTACTCTGTGGGTCCTGGGGTAGAACTCAGGTTGCTGGGGTAGCACCTGGCTTTTTATGTCGATGCTGGGGATTCGAACAGACCCTTATGGTTGTGTGACAGGTAGGGAGCTGACTGAGCCATCTCCCTAGCCCCACGCCTCCTGAGGAAATGCAGGAAGATGTTGCCAGCTGTTAGCATTCACCAGCAGCTTGGTGAGTGGTCCCATGCCTGTGTTCTTGGACCTCCAGGCCCCCAGTGGAGAACTGTCTCCCTGCAGCTGTCACCTGATGGAAGAGGAGGAAGGTGACACACAGCTAGACCTCAGGCAGCTGGGCCTCTGCACCATCTCCCATCTCTGCATTTGGAGCTGCTGGGCGGTGCTTGTGCCAGATGTGGGTCAAAGGGCACTGCACCTTCCAAACGTACATCTGTTATCTTGGGGAGCTGCTGCAGGTCTGGGGTGTGGACACACTGGAGGAAGAGGCGCAGCACCTGCTGTTGTGAGCTCAGTCCCCAGAGCCACATGCAAGGGAGAGTTGAGGTCCTGTGGCATCTGGGACAGACCCCTTGTCAGCCCTGTGGCCACCACGAACCTTGCTACTGTCACAGTACAGCCCACACAGGGAGGGCTTTGCAAGCCAGGCCCAGGTGGGTGCCTAGAGACACAGGCCGGAGTCTCTCCCACAGCTCTGGTGCACTGGCCTTGTCTGACACAACCTTCCTGAGGGTGACCTGGGACCTCACACACAGCCCCTGTGAGACAGCCACACTTGAGAGGTGTTCACACTGTTCATGAGGGCCACATCTGGCTCACCGGTAGAATGAAATTGGGGATTTTTTAATTCAATTAATTTTTTTTGAGACAGGGTGCTATGTAGGCCAGGCTGGTCTGGAACACACAGCCCCATCTGTGTCTGCCTCCTGAGGACTGGTATTGAAGGCATATACCACTATGCCTGGCTCTATTTATTTTTGAGACAGGGTCTCCCATAGCCATGATTGGCCTCAAATTTCCCATGGAGCCAAAGCTGGCCTTGAACTTCAGATCTTTTTGCTTCCACCTTCTAAGTACTGGGATTACAGGCTTGTTTTTAAAATTATATTTACTGGGGCTGGAGAGGTAGCTTAGCAGTTAAGAATGTTTACTGCTCTCCAGGTGGTAGGGGAGGCAGAGGCAGGCAGAGATCATTGTGAGTTCAAGGCCAGCCTGGTCTACAGAATGAGTTGCAGGATAGCCAGGGCTACATAGAGAAATCCTGTCTCAAAAAGTGTTTATTGCTCTTGTGGAGGACCAGGGGTTGGTTTCCAGCACCCACAGGACAACTCCCAACTCCTGTGACTCCAGGTCCAAGGACCCAGTGGCCTCCTTGATCTCCTTCACACAGGTGGTACACATAAATAAATAACTAAAACCTTTCTATTACAGTTAAGTTTGTTTGGAGGTCAGAGGACAATCTGCCAGGGTCAGAGTCTGGAGACTGGACTCAGGTTAGCACGCTCGGCGGCAAGCCGCTACCTGCTGAGCCATCCCACCAGTCTGCAAGAGGTTGTCTTCAAAAACGGACAAAACAAGCTGGTGAGACGGGGCCTTGTCATGTGAACTCAGACACCTCTGTTCAATCTTGGACAAGCACACTAGTAATAAAATTTAAAACCAAAACCAAACAACCCATCAACCAAACAGTGCTGGGCTGTAGCTCAGTGGCAGAGTGCTCGCTCGCCTAGTACACATGAAGCTCTGGGTTCCCTCACCAGCACTGTAAGAATGGTGTGCATTCTTACACACGCTCACACCAGTGATCCCAGCGGAGGCAGACATGAGGATTAGATATTCCAGATCATTCTCTGTTACATATTGAGTCTGAGGCCAGCCTGACATACAAACCTAGCATCTTAAAAACTTTAAAACAAAACAATGAGCCAGGCGGCGGCGGCGGCGGCGGCGGCGGCGGCGCACACCTTTAATCCCAGCACTTGGGAGGCAGAACCAGGCAGATCTCTGTGAGTTTGTGACCAGCCTGGTCTACAGAGTGAGTTCCAGGACAGCCAAGGCTACACAGAAAAGCCCTGTATAAAAAACAAAACAAAACAAAACAAACGAAAGAAGAAAAAGTATAGATATGTACAAGTCAAAGTCAAAGAATTGTAGACCGGTGGTTCTCACCCTGTGGGTCATGACCCCTTTGGGGGTCAAATGACCCTTTCACAGGGGTCAAACATCAGATATCCTGCATATCAGACACTTTACATTATGATTCACAACAGTAGTAAAATTACAGTTATGAAGTAGCAATGAAATAGTTTTATGGTCGGGGGTCAGCACATGAGGAACTGTATTAAAGGGTCGTAACAGTAGGAAGTCTGAGAACCATGATACAGGCTGGTGGGGCTCTGAGATGGTGCTGAGCTAGCAGGAGGGTGAAGAGAGATGGCTTCCTGGGTCCAGCATGAGCTTTGAATGGCAAGAGAAATGTGTTAGGCATTGGCTGGGGCCCGGGCCAGAGAGAGAGCTCAGTGGTTAAGAGTATATATTGTCCTTGCAGAGGACCTGAGCTCCATTCCCAGCATTCATATCTGACAAACACACAAACTGCCTGTAACCCAGACTCTAGGTGATCTGAACCCCTTTTGCCGCCCCCCCATATGCAGACATACATAAATTAATAGTGATAAAAGAAGTTGGGTTGGGGACGGCTCAGTGTGTAAAGCACTTGCTGTATAAGCCTGGAGACTTGAGTTCAGATCCATGTGTAAGCCCTGTCTGTAATCCCAGTCCATCTACAGAGAGCCGGAGACAGGAGAGTCTCCATGAGTTCCATAGCCAGCTGGCCTGCCTTACGTGATAGTGAAGAAACTGTCTTGAATGAGGTACAGGTAGGTCTAATTCCTGAGAGTTGTTCTCTGTGGCAACATGTGCCCCCCCAATCCCCCAGAGAGAGAGTGAGAGAGAGGGAAGGAGGTAGGTTTTGATAGAAGTTGCAGGTTGCTGCCATGGCTTCCTGGAGGGAACGCACTCCACACCCAGGGCCTGTCCACCACCTTCCTACCAAGGCTGGCTTCAGCAGCCAGTCTGGGGCTCCTGTAGACCTGCTCTCCAGCAGCTCCTCCTTTCAAGCTTCGGGCGGGCGGAGCTGGTCAGTGGGGTGCCGCCCCCTGCCCCACGCAGAAGGAGCTGCAGGGCAACTGCCTTCCACGCCAATCCAAATGCCCCACCCTGGGAGTGGTGGCACACATGCAATCCCAGCATTGAGAAGGCGGAGACAGAGGAGTGCTTCAAAGTCAGGGGCAGCCTGGGCTACGTAGAGTGATACTGTGTGTCTCAAAAACTGAACATCTGAGGGTGATTCCTTAGGGTGGCTGGGAAAATGAAGAAAATCGGTGACTGGATACAGGCTGTTGCCCTGGGGGACTGGCAGTTCCTGTGGAAGGCCCGCGGCTCCTCCTGACTCCAGGCTTCTGGCTGTGACCTTCCTGGTCCTCCTTCCCAAGGTGGGCCTGACTCACAAGGTCACAGCCTTGGAGCCCCAAACTCTTCCCAGGATTGGAGCTCCCTTCTGCCTGCCCTATCCTTATCGTCCCCGTCTCCAGAAAGCACTGTGGCCTCCTCTACCCTGTGCTGTGACCTCTGCCTGAAGGACGATGGAGACAAAGGACAGCAGCTGACACCCAGCACACATCATCCAGCCAGTCGCAGCTTCCTTCCTTCCCAGACAGGGTCATGTAGCTCAGGCTGGCCCAGGACTTACTATGCAGATGAGGATGACCTTGAATTTGCGATCCTCCTGCCTCAGCCTCTTAGAGCTGGGGATGAAACCCGGGGCTTCCTGCATGCTAGGGGAAGTGCTCTGCCACGTGAACCAGATGCCCAATCCCAGCAGCTGTTCTGGGAACCCACTCCTTGCCTTGCCCCCCTCTGCCCCAGCTGTCAGTCCCTCTTATGCCAAGAATACCATTCCCGTCTGTCCAGGCAGCCGGTCTGGCCAGGGTTTGAGTGGGGTCTGACCAGTCATTTTCTCCAGGCTTGCTGCTATGGCTCTGGGGATGGCTGTTCAGACATGGCTGATGTGAACCAATAATCAGGCATGAACCAGCTCAGTCTCCTACAAAATACTTTATTTGTTTTTATTATCAGATAGGGTCTTGCTGTGCAGCCCAGCCTGACCTGGAACTTGTGATCCCCCTGCCTCAGCATCCTGAGTGCAGACCTGAGTTTATGTTATGCTTCTTAGCTATCTGCTCCGTGGTCACAGCAAACGAGGTGCGATCTCAATGGTGTTAATCCGGAGGACGGTCTGTGGGTTCACGATGACTGAAAGAGAGAGAGAACCTTGTCACGGGCCAGGCCTCATCTCCTTCCTAGACAGCTGGGCTCCAGCTGTCCCCAGCAGTGCATTCTGCCCGGCCCCTGGCCATGTCCCTTGCCCCACTCTATTTGATGTGTACTGACCACCTCACTCCTGTCATGGGCCCCGCCTACCACTGCAGACGCTGGAACTGCAGCAGCCCACGGGCAAGGGTCTGCTCCTATGGCCACTGGCCTTAAGGCCTCGAGGGCAGGATGGGCCTACTCACTTTGGGAGACAGGGGTGGGCGAGGCTCCCTCTTAACACAGACCACGGTGCTCCTGACTAGGGTGGGTATGAGACTATATCCCACTGCCTAGGACTGCTTTGCAATGGCCACTGTTACTATTTGGGGGGGATGCAGGGAGGAGCTGATAAAAAGATTCTTTTTATTGTGTTTATGGGGCCCCTCTGCCTTGTAGGGAATGGTGTTCCGTGGCTCTCTATCTGTTCATGGACAATTGGCTGCTTTGAGGACCATGTCAAATGTCCACATCAGAACAAAGCAGGTAACGGAGTGGGTCACACCTATTAGGGCCTAACAATTAGGCATTTCCTCAGCAATGAGGGGGTAATGACATCTGTACTTCCCCCTTAGGGACCCCCTTACTCCAGACAAGAGAGAATGACTCGAGGGGCAAGAGGCACTGGTGTGCCCTCCACGGCCCGTGGCCTCAGCACCACACACCCGCTTTCTGGCACTGCCTCCCCATGATTTCCACCACCATGGCTAAGCCAACCACCATCTTGACCCCGTCCCAAGGGAACGCAGTGCCCTGTGAAGTCACCCTGACTCCACCCTGCCCTCACTCAGGTCAGCAGCCGCATGGCACCACTCCTCCCTAGGACCGTTACTCCCGGGGGCGGTGGGAGGGAGGCTGACTAGAAGAGAACAATCCCCCTGTGGGAGAGCCTGTCTTTGCTTCTGCCCCGTCATCTGGTCACCTGCGCAGCTCCTGCCAAAGCAGCCCTGGGGCAGCTCTCAGCTGGAGCCGAGGGCCCAGCCTGCAGCCTTCTCCCATTGGTCCGAGGCACTGTGGTCTCAACCCTGAACGCTCCTGAGCTGCCCTCGGCCTCTCTCCTCACACTGGCCCCGGGGCTTCTTCAGCATCCCCTGCTTCCCGCCTTCAGATGAACCTGATCCTGTCACAGGCGGCCTCAACTCCTTAAAACTCAGCCTGCTGGCCACGGCCTTGACCACTCCGGACGTCTGTACTTGGCATCTGCACCACACTGCTGGGGCCCATCCCTAACGGGTCGATGCGGCAGCGCCGAGAAGGGAGAATGCAGACTGCCTGTGACCCAAAGCACTTCAAAGGAGCACAAGCAGCTCCTCCGCTCCCTGCAGAGGCCACGGACCTGGTCCTGAGCGTCTAATCACGTCTCCCTTTGACTGATCTGTGAGGTCACACGTACCACACGTGCCAGGAGCTTTCCATCCTATCATCTCCTAAGCCCAACCTGTGCCGTGGAGGGCGAACTATATCCCACTCATGTGGGAGTTGCTTTTGGTTTTCCAAGACAACCCAAGGTACCACTGCTGTCCTCCTGTGTCTCAAGTCAGGTGCCATGCTGGTCGACAGCTGCCGTGTGGTCTGCGTGTCACACTGGGGCCATGTGAGTAGTTCTGAGGCCCTCACCCCACACAACACTGGCGTGACTATTAGGGATGACATCACCCTGGTCTTGCCTAGCTACTTGGCAGGGAACATGGGTCACAACTACCATGTGCTGGGAACACGGGCCTCAAAACACTGTTTTGCACTTACTTTTTTTCTTCCTGAAGTTTTTCCTTTTCCTAAATTTCATGTTGATTTTGGGCCATGATTCTGTCTTTTCAATGACTGTGGCTTCAACTCGCACGAGATCCTTTCTAGAAAAAATAAAAAGAAACAACAATGTGAAGGTGCACCGAATACGCACCTCCTTGATTGCTTTTAGCTTTGCTCACACCTTGGGGACGCTTCCCCAGAGGAGAGCTCCTGGCTCTGCAATGGGGTCTCATGCAGCCCAGACTGACCTAGAACTCCCTTTACATCCAAGGAGTGACTCTGACCTGATCCTCCTGCCTCTGCTTCCTGTGCAGGAATCAATAGACATATGCCCACATCTGGTTTACAAACTGTAAACATTTTGAAAACAGTAAGAAAGCATAATGAAGAGCATGGCCTCCCAGTTCTTGGGAGGCAGAGGCAGGAGGATGGCCACAAATTCAAAGCCAGTCTAGTATATACTGTGAGCTCCAGTCTAACCAGGTTACACAGTTAAACTCTGTCTCAAAAAGACAACAAAGAAAACTTTATTTTTTCTTAATTTTGTTTGTGGTGCTGAGATATAAACCCAGGGCCTCAAGCTTAACAGTATGCACCCTATTCCTGAGCCGAACCACCAGCCCTTAAGATGATCTAAAAGGCGACACTGGCTGCCGGCTATGGTGTTGCATGCCTTTGATCCCAACACCCAGTAGGCAGAGGCAGTCAGATCTCTGTGAGTTCAAGGCAAGCCTGGTCTACCTAGTGAATTTCAGGACAGTCATGGCTGTTACACAGGAGAGACCCTATCTCAGAAAACCAAAATAAAGTAACAGAAAGAGAGGCTGCACTGTAACAGATCAGTGACCGACCAATCACCTGGCTGGATGTCCCCTGGGGCAGCAAACACCCTCCAGAATGGTATAGGAGGGTGCTGCATCTGGCTCTCACAGTGATGTGCGATAATCCCCACTGGGCCCAACCACACAGTGTCCCATCTGTGAATCAGTCCGGGCCCTGGACCAAGCCCTGTGTGTAGCAGCTCATTACCCGAGGAGTGGCTTGCCGAGGAGTGTGAAGTTGTCTGCCCCCACCAGCAGGACCTGAGAGGATAAAATGTAGCATATTTAATCCCTGGCTCCTCACCAAGGTCACAGAAACCACTGGGAGCAGGGAGTGGGTGATGCCCACATGTTGAAACTAGACAGGAAACTGAAAATAGAGAGGCCCAGGGCCCACAGTGGAGGGAGATAAATGACCTCTGCAAGCTGTTCTGTGACTCCCTCCACCTGCTGGAGAGGTAGATGCTGGAGGATCAGGAGTAGTCTTGTCTACACAGCAAGTCTGAGGCTAGCTTGAGAGACAAGAGACTTTGTCACAAATAAAAATAACATTATCGGACTAAGCTGCCCTGGCTGCCATGACTGCTGCCCGCCCAGCAGCATCCCGTGGAACTTCCCAGCCTCCCTGCAACAGCAGGGGCTAAAAATCTCACTCTGAGCTCGAATGGCAGTTTTATATGGGTGACTGAAAATGCTATGGAGGCACAGCTCGGTCTCCTTGCCCTCCACCAGCCCTGGTTTTCCTTTTGCTCTGCCCCCACACAGATCCTACTCCCCATCCACTGTGGCTGGGACGCCTGTGTTCCAGCACAGCTGAGAAAACCCTCCCAGTGATGCCCGTTTGGTGCCCGAGTCCCCGAGTCCACAGAACAGCCTGCACCTCACCTTCTCCAGCCGAATCCTCTCCCCACACTGGATGTCCAACTCATTTTCGATTAGAATCAGGTCCTCGGCGGTCACCTTCCATTGGTGGCTGGCAAAGTGCACGACAGCGAAGAGCCGGCCATACTGGCCCGTGGCGATCAGCTCGTTCACCTTCCTTACAACCTCTGCAGGACAGCAGGTGGCAATCATCCACTGGACAGGCGGCCGGCCGGCCATCTACTTGTGAGGGGTGCTCCCTGAAGTTGTCCAGCCCCGCCCCCCCACCCAGTGGGCAGGTTCAGGGTTGGGCTGGCGCTCTCAGGAGTGCTGGCAGGGCATGTCACTTCGGCACTTCTGGGGCGGGACCCTCACCTTGCTTTGCTTTTTAAAAAAATCAATTAAGAGCCAGTGGACAAGCTGAGCATGAACGGCACACGTCTATAATCCCATTGTTTGGGAGGTTGAGGCAGGAGGACTGCAGTGAGTTTTGAGTCTAGCCTGGGCTACACCCCAGGGTGAGGTGTAAGCAGTCTAAGAAGTGAAAAAACAGTCCTTCTGCAGCCTGAGGAGCCAGAATTCTATCTCTCTGAGCTGGCAGGGCCCTCCTGCCCTCCCCTACACTCCTTCTCTGCCCCCATTGTCACATGCTGGCTCAAGTCATAGTCCCCTAGCCCTCAACTTTGCCCTAAATGGTACCCAGTGAGCACCCAGCCCCACCCCTAGGCCGAGGGCTGGACACACAGGATGGACATGACAATTCCTGCTCTGGAGACAGACCGAGACCAGAAGTAGCTCCTGGCATCCCTGGTGAAGGCTCAATGAGGAAGAGCCTTCAGTATCCGTGGGCTCAACATCCACAGAACCGGCCAAGCACAGACAGATGGAAAATACTCAGAAAACCACAACAAAAATAAAAAACAAAACTGGTGCATGTACCAAACATATGCAGAACTATCCTGGTGGTGGTGCCCTCAACAGTGCAGCGGGGTGAGCAGGGGTGAGCAGAGTGCAGCAGGGTGAGCGCAGTGCAGCAGGGTGAGCGCAGTGCAGCGAGGTGAGTGCAGTGCAGCGGGGTGAGCAGAATGCAGCGGGGTGAGCGCAGTGCAGCGGGGTGAGCAGAGTGCAGCGGGGTGAGCAGAGTGCAGCGGGGTGAGC